CCCCGCCCTCCTCACTTCTCCTAGGTGCACCCTCCTCTCCTCCATATTTGCCCGGAAGCTGCCCCTCATCCCTCTTCTTGCTAGTCCCACCCCCTTTAGGACTCACTCCCTTCCTTGGGGGCCTACCCCCACCCTTCTTCCCAGGTGCCTCCTCCCATCCTCCCTGCCTGCTCTCTCCAGGGCTAGTCCCTGCCAGCTCTTAGCCCCCCCACCGCTCGGGGGTCCCCACTTTCTATCCCCGAGCCTGGGTCAGACCACAGCCGACTCCGCGGCCTGGAAACCCGGCCTTAGCTCCCGTTGCCCGCCCCTTGCCTTCCAACAGCTCGATGGACATGGCTCGCCTCCCCTCCCCAACCAAGGAGAAGCCGCCGCCGCCGCCGCCGCCGGGCGGGGGTAAAGACCTGTTCTACGTGAGCCGCCCACCCCTGGCCCGTTCCTCGCCGGCATACTGCACGAGCAGCTCGGACATCACGGAGCCGGAGCAGAAGATGCTGAGTGTCAACAAGAGCGTGTCCATGCTGGACCTGCAGGGCGATGGGCCCGGTGGCCGTCTCAACAGCAGCAGTGTTTCCAACCTGGCAGCTGTGGGCGACCTGCTGCACTCAAGCCAGGCCTCACTGACAGCGGCCTTGGGGCTGCGGCCTGCACCTGCTGGACGCCTCTCCCAGGGGAGTGGCTCTTCCATCACGGCCGCCGGCATGCGCCTCAGCCAGATGGGTGTCACCACGGACGGGGTCCCTGCCCAGCAACTTCGCATCCCCCTGTCCTTCCAGAACCCTCTCTTCCACATGGCGGCTGATGGGCCCGGCCCCCCAGGGGGCCACGGAGGGGGTGGTGGCCACGGCCCACCTTCCTCCCATCACCACCACCACCACCACCACCACCACCGAGGTGGAGAGCCCCCCGGGGACACCTTTGCCCCGTTCCATGGCTATAGCAAGAGTGAGGACCTCTCCTCAGGGGTCCCCAAGCCCCCCGCTGCCTCCATCCTTCACAGCCACAGCTACAGTGACGAGTTCGGGCCCTCTGGTACTGACTTCACCCGTCGGCAGCTCTCACTGCAGGACAACCTGCAGCACATGCTGTCCCCTCCCCAGATCACCATCGGTCCCCAGAGGCCAGCCCCCTCAGGGCCTGGAGGCGGGAGTGGTGGTGGGGGCAGCGGTGGGAGTGGCGGAGGCCAGCCGCCGCCATTGCAGAGGGGCAAGTCTCAGCAGTTGACGGTCAGCGCTGCCCAGAAACCCCGGCCTTCCAGCGGGAATCTGTTGCAGTCCCCGGAGCCGAGTTACGGCCCCGCTCGTCCTCGCCAACAGAGCCTCAGCAAGGAGGGCAGCATTGGGGGCAGCGGGGGCAGCGGTGGCGGAGGAGGGGGTGGGGGGCTCAAGCCCTCCATCACCAAGCAGGTAAGTGGCCAGGTGGGTCCAGAGCAGGGAGGAGAGAAGGAGATGGGGCTGGGAGTGAGGGTGGGCTAGAGCTTGTGGTCTCGAAGTTAGTAGAATGTGTTTGTGGGTGCCCTGGCAGTGCAGTGGTTAAAGTGCTCGGCTGCTAACCTAAAAGTCAGCGCTCGGACTCACCAGCTGCTCTGAGGGAGATAGCTGTGGCAGCCGGCTTCCCCAAAGATTTGCAGCCCTGGAAACCCCGTGGACAGGCCTTCGCTGTCCTGTAGGGTTGCTATGAGTTGAAATCAACTCAATGGATGTGTAGCTAGAGCACCTTCCGTGTCCTCTGAGCTGTTCTAGGCACTGTGGGTAAGGAAGTGCACACCACACATGACAATTCCAGCCCTTGGGGCACCCACGTTCCAGCTAGGTCTCAGGGGGCGCTCAGCAGCAGCGGGGAGATGCGTGTACAGCAGGGGGACGAGTCGGTGCCAGCATCTCCTTGGCTGTACTCTCGCTCTCTAAATGCGCCCTGTCTTTTCCCACCTTCTTCTCTGTTTGCCCCCACCACGTGCTGTATCCCAGCATTCTCAGACACCATCCACGCTGAACCCCACAATGCCAGCCTCTGAACGAACAGTGGCCTGGGTCTCCAATATGCCTCACCTGTCGGCCGACATCGAGAGCGCCCACATCGAGCGGGAAGAGTACAAACTTAAGGAGTACTCTAAATCGATGGATGAGAGCCGGCTGGATAGGGTACGCGGGGCCCTGCCAAACCTAGGCCCCCCCTGACCTTCCCTGTACCCACAGCAAAGCCTTCAAGGTCAAGTCGTGAAAGTCGAGTGGAAAGAAAAGAGAGCTGTCAGTCTGGGAGGGGACATCAGCTAGAAGCCAACATCAATTCCTTTGCAGGCCCCTGTAGTACCCCTTGTAGACACGAACTCGATTAGGCCTCCCCCCACGCCCTTTCCCAGGGAGAACAGAGCGCCCCGGCGCCTTCTTGGGGCAGCTCAAGAGAAAAAAACGATACCTTTACTGGCAGCTTGAGCTAATCCGTCAATTGGGCAGGGAGAGGGACTTGTGGCTGCACCACAAGGTGTGGCTTTCGCAGTCTCATGGGGGTTAGGTAACAGAGGGGCACATTATCCTGCTGGCCCACGTGTGGCAAGACTGGCCGGACTCTCTCAAAGCACTTCCACGTGGTGGGGGAGCCACGAGGGGAAGCCCTGGTTCTAAGGACACTGAGGAAGAGCGGCGGCAGGGTAGACAGAGTTACCTCCCGCCCCACCAGCACGGGGTGCTGAAGCGAGGTCTCTTGAAGTGGGTGTTGAGCAGAGGCGTGTGTTGGGACTGATCTGGGAAGACTTGGCTCCGCAACCTTTGCCCCTCAAGTTCTGGGAGAGAGCTAGGCCCTAATGCCCCGAGGAGTCCCTCGCTGCCAGTGAACAGGCGGCTCTCCTTGGGGTGTCGATCGGAGTTGTGTTTATGGTTGTACCCTCTTCGGAGGCTGCGAAAATAGTCCGTGGATTGCATCGTCTCTGCAGATGCGGAGTCCTTGAGGAAGGCTCGGGACTCGCACTGTCCAGTAGCGCTGTGCTTTACGGAGTGATGAGAATGTTCGTTAGTTTTAGCAATACTCATTTTAGCAATACTAACTGTTCAATGGCCACCCATCCCTGGCAGCTACTGTATCGGGCAGCACAATCTAGACTCTCGCAGCACAATCTAGACTCTCGCTTCCATGGGGCCAGACAGAATGGTTCGTCTGAGCCCTTCTAACGTGGGGATTCCGAGTTACTACAAAGAGAGAGGCATTCCAAGACAACTCGGTCAGGGGCTTACTTGATGCCCAGGCCCCCGGTGCAGACAAGGTTGGGAGAGTCACGTGTAGGACAGCCAGGGCCATGTCTTTGCGAGTATACGCACTTGTCTCTACATGTCTAGGTTGCTGGTAGGGCCCTCCTGTCTGAGTGTACGTGTGAGGACGTATGCATGCCTCTCGGGGTGTAGGAGTCTCTGACGCCGCCCCAGCTCCATAGGAAGGACCTTCTCCAAAGCCAGCGTGGGGTGCTAGGCCGGCGGGATGAGGGCTGGCTGGGGGCACCAGGGTGCCGGCCCCTCACAGTGCGGGGTCATGTGCCCGGCGGGCAGGTGAAGGAGTACGAGGAGGAGATCCACTCACTGAAGGAACGGCTGCACATGTCCAACCGGAAGCTGGAGGAGTATGAGCGGAGGCTGCTGTCCCAGGAAGAGCAGACCAGCAAGATCCTGATGCAGTACCAGGCCCGGCTGGAGCAGAGCGAGAAGAGGCTGCGGCAGCAGCAGGTGGAGAAGGACTCGCAGATCAAGAGCATCATTGGCAGGTGAGGGGCGGCCTGGGGAGGGGTGGGGCAAGGGAGGAGCCTGCGGCTGAAGAGAGCCAGAGAGCTCTCCCCCCTGCCCTCCCCCCGATCTTGGCGACCACCAGGAAAGCCCACCAGCCCACTCCCAGGGAGACAACCCCAGAGGGGGAGGAACTGCTCAGTGTCGAAATGCCCTCTTACTAAACCCTGATCTCTCTCCTGATCGAGTGACTTGTGAAGTAAGTAAGGTTCTTCCTGTCCACGCATCGCTGTGTGTCTGGATCCAGCCCAGGCCAGGACTCCCCCTGGCCATTCTCAGCCCAGGCTGTGATGTGCCTTCTAACCTAAGCAGAGATTCTCAGCTGCTTCCAACCTGGGCAGACCTTCCCCCTTGTGCCTGGGGACTGGTGTCCCAATAGAGAGAATGACCCCGTGAATGGCCTGGTTTTCAAGTGCACCGCCAAACCGGGAGCGCCAAGGAGGTGTCTCATCAAAGGCGTCAGATACCCTGAGGGCTGAGGCGGGGTGACGCTAGGCCCCACACCAGTCAGTCCATTTGGATCCATTCTCAATGTCCTCTTGGGTGAGGGCTCTTTGACCTGAAAGTCCTTTTGGAAACCAGGGCTCTCATTGAGGTTCTGTAACTCTCGTGGCGTCCCTAAATTAGTCTGAGCACCGTCAGCAGAGACAAACGAGTGATGGTAGAGATCCCTCTTGGGCTCGGGGTCCCCTGGGGGGGGGGTCGCTGGGGGTGCCCTAGGCTCAGGGACAGAGGACAAAGGATCCAGGTCACGAGCCATAGAGAGTCTAGGGGAGGGACACTGTTGTCCAAAGATGGGAGGCTGGGGGCCTGCGGGTCTTAGAGACATGAGGGCTCCAGAAGAGGAAGGTGAGGAGCATGTTCCTCATAACAGGGGGTCTTGGCAGTGGAGGGAATTGGAGGGAGAGGGTCCCTGGGATTCTCCCGGGGGAGCCGTGGGGGCTCCCTAGGATCCGGCGTTGCAGGGGCGGGCTCTGAGCCTGTGCCCGCCACTAACCCCACTGAAGCCCGTCCCTTCAGGCTGATGCTGGTGGAGGAGGAGCTGCGCCGGGACCACCCCGCCATGGCTGAGCCGCTGCCCGAGCCCAAGAAGAGGCTGCTCGACGCTCAGGTGGAAATTACAATGTCATTTATCTTCTCCGTGTCCCATCCCCATCCATCCCACCGTCCTTCGTGCACTCACCACACTGACCAGCCCAGCCCCATGGCCATCTGTCTCTCCCCCTGTCCCCGCAGCCGCCCAGCGACCCCCATCTTCATCCCATTGTCTGCCTTTGTCACTCCCAGCAGTGTCCACCCCCTCTCTGCCTCCCGACCCTGTCTTTCCCGTGCCTTTCTGCCTCTCGGTGCCTTGGCCGAGACTCCCCATACCACCATGCAGTGCCTGGAACCCCTGTTCCTCACTGCCCCTCCGGTTCCAGCCCGGGGGTGCAGCCTCTTCCCGGCTCTTCTCAGGCCTGGGCAGGTTAGAAGCTGCAGTGTGTTAACACTGGAGCACAGGGGAGCATGAGTGCTAGTCTCCCCAGGCTCTGGAGGGTACTCTGGGGATTTGCGGTTCCCTCACCTCTGTTCTATTGGCTCTCCGAGTTCCCTGGCCCGTAGCGGCTCCTGGGCCGCTTCCTCCAGCCTCCTAGGCCACCTCCTCCCTCCTGGTTTAAGTGTGGCCTGCCTGGGGCCTTCCTGCCCCTCTGGTCCTCACACCTGAAGTGTTCTCCGGCTCCTGCTGCCCTCCCTGTCCTCACCGGCCAGCTTTCAGGGCCTCCCTTGCGCCCCACCCCTGTTGTCCTCAAATTCTGCTCTTTCCTGCCACGCTCCTCCTTCCTCCGCTCAGACCACCAGGCTGCTTTCAGCAGAACCGCCAAGGCCCTGACCCCTGACCCCACTCTCTCCCCCTGCAGCTCCTCATCAGGTAATTCTCCTGGTTCCGCTTTGGCCACGGGCGGAGGACACAGGGGGAGGTGACTCCGGACCACTGCAGGTTGGTCATGAAGCCCACTCCCCTCGACCCCCCGGAGCCTCTCCCCTCTCGCCACTGTCCCCCGTAGCCAGAGCATCTTCACAGACCCCACTCTCCTGGCAGCTGCACAGACCCTGCTCAGGGCACACTTCTCCCCGCGCCCCCTCCCCTCCCCAAGTGCTGCCACTGAGGACCCTCCACTGACACCTTACCAGCACATAGAAGGGTTTGACCCTAGACAGGCCCAGCACAGTCCCAGACCACATTCCCAGACACCCCCACCCTACCAAACCCACCCCTCCCAGCCTCCTCCTGACCGAACCTCTGCTACCTCTCCAGTGTGCGTCTGTCACCCCCATTTCACCAGAGCGTCCTGGGAGGGGGTGTCAGGGGTGTGGGGGCTTGTTTGAGGGGTGGAGGTGATGCTGGGATAGGGGACCCTCGCTATAGGGGCTGTGCCAACTGCAGCAGGTAGGTTGAGGTTTCCTCTCCCCCCTCTCCCCATCCCTGACTTTGGTTTCCTACCCCTTCTTTCCATCCCTCACCTTACTCTCTCTCTTCCTCCTCCCCTGTCACTGAGGTAGACAGCATCCTGGGCACAGGTGAGACCCTGTCGGGTGGAAATGAGGTGTGGGTAGGTAACTCAGAGACTTGGGGGCGGGTAGGGCTGGAAATACGCTGTCTGCTGTCCTGCTTGTAGAACAAGGGGGACCAGAGAGGTTGTCCAGGCAAGAAGGGAAGCTTGGGCAGCTGTTAGGACGTGGGCTTACCCGCGAGGACTTGCCCATGTAGCGTGGGAGTTGGCAGTGGGGTGAGACATCAGGGATCACGGGCTCAGTGGCCGTGTTGATCCCTGGGCAGAGAGGCCAGGAAGAGCATGTCAGACAACCTCTCTATTCTTGTCACAGCTCACTCCCCCTCTCCCGCCACCCGGTGGCCTGGCTGGACACATAATCCCACCTAAACAGCCAGTAAATGGGAACCTGTGGGTAACTGACATCACTCTGAGAAGCTTGCTTTCCTGTAGGCTCCACAGCGGGCAGCGTGGCTCCCCAGACTGTAATTTTAACTCTCTGCCTGCCTCGCCTGTCAGAGTGGTTAGTGATCTGTAAGCAGATGCTCAAAGGCACCAGGGGACCTCACCATGGAAAGGGCTCCTGCAGTGAATTCTTTTGTAAAGTGAATAACGGCACCCTCATTTATCCACCGTCTAAATTTGGGCCCACGGGGGTGTAGGGGCATGCCTATGTGCTGTCACCACGGGGAGCGAGGAGAGTCTGCGGTTTCCTTCCCCAGCCCACTCTCGCTGGGCTGAGGATACCCTGCGTCATTTGCCCTCACTGACTTCCGGAAGCTTGCTCATGGCTTGGGTGTTGGTGACCATCTGGGAGATGAGCTCTGTGGCCCTGGCAGGGAAGGGAGGACAGCTGACCTGGGGGCCTGGAGTGTCTTCGTGTCCTCAGGAGATACGGTCAGACAGAGCTACTTTGCCTGGCCTCAATTCCCTGTGACCCAGGAAACCATTTCTGGGTCTCGGTCCCTCTGTGATGGAGCGATTCATTTCAAAATTCATCTTGACTTTCTGCTTTTTAAAAAGCCAAGGGAAGGGGTTAGCTAGAGGCCTGCCTTCTCTTTGGGCCAGCTTAGGGCCAGGGCCGAAGGGACCACAGACTGGCCCAGGGTTTGTAGGAGGAGATGAGCCAGGAGCAGGGATGGGAAGGAGTCGGGTCCGGTACCTCACTCTGGGCACGCGGGGGGAGGAGAGGAGTGAAGCTTCCTGCGGTCGCAGAGACTGGAGCATGATGTGTCTCTTCAGTAGCTTCTAGTCGTTTTTGGCCCTCAGTGCAAGAGAGGCAACCCCTCCCACAATAGATTCCCCTTTCCAAATCATGTCTCTGAGCCCCCTTCCTTTCCCCCCAGTACAGTTAAACCTCTCTAATTTGGAATGTTATATTTGAGAAGATGGCCACTCTGAGTAAGTGACAAAACTGAATGACAGTGTCTATTTAATGAAATGCATGTCTTCAAAATACATACAGCAAGTAGAATTCCACAAACACGGCTTTTTCCACCGCAGGCCCCCAGGGAGCGTGCCGTTAATGAATAGATAGGATTGAAAAGTCTGTTTTCTGGTCTAGGTTCAACCTCCCCTCCTACGGACACATTTCCACCATTAATTTGCTTAGCACACCCTTTCTACAGAGAGAAAGGAAAACGCAAGCCAGTTTTTTTTGTTCAAATTATGAAAAACCTCCAAATCCGTGGGGGTTTGGACTAATGAGGTTTCGCTGTACTGCCTCCCCTTGTACCCACGCAGGGTCCCTACCTTGGGCTGGGGGTGGGCATGGGGGGGGCGGGGCTGGGCAGGGAGTATGTGGGTGAAGCAGAGGGCTCAGGTCGGGGAGAGGTAGCAATGAGCTTCTCTGGAGCCGGTTTCCTGGTGTGACTCCCTGGGGCGAAGGCCCTGGTTAGGAGTCTGGGGTGAGATTTTCCTCCTCCCCGATCCCAGAGGACACACACCACTGCAGGTGAGAAGCGACCTAGCACGGTGGGGAGTGGCCTGGG